AGGAGGGGAAGGGGGAGGGGGAGGCGGAGACGGAGGCGGAGGCGGAGGCGGCGGAGGAGGAGGAGGAGGAAGAGGAGGAAGAGGAGGACGTGTCCGTAGCCAGTTTGGCTCAAGAATAGTTCTCCTGTGCTCCCAACGTCGCTCGAGCGGTTGAGGTGTGTTGTCGTGGAGCTCGGTCCACGAGCGAGTGGCTGGGGCTTCGCGACCCCATCAGCGCTCCCGCGCGGCACCTGCGATGTCTGTGTGGACGTGCGGATCTGATGGCTATGGTAACTTTGGTTTCAGGGCGAAGTGTTGGCAGTCGGGGTGCAACGGCCAGGGCCCCAAAAGTGCAGATGTGGTCCCGAGCGTGGTTCATCTTTGGCACCTGCCTCGTGGTGTCAGGGCTGTGCCTCCTGTGCCCCCCGAAGTGTCTTCCGATTGTAATAAGCAAGCTGCCCCGGGGACCCGTGGGGAAGAAGGCAAGTATGGCGACGGTGGCGGAGCGGGATCGCAGCAGCAGCAGCATGATGAGGCCCAGGCGAAAGTTTGGCTGGACATGCCCCCACAGCAATTTGTGTCCGCCGCAGAGGTGCTGTCTGAGTCGTGTCGTGGGAAGCGCAAGCACATGCGGTGGAAGCGCCAGCATGGTTTCGATGTGTTCGTCTCGGCCAAGGAGGCTAAGGACGCCCAGCACGCCATCGGCTCGAAGGCTGCAGAGGTGCAGAAGGTCAATGGTGCCTCCGATCGTGCCCGCACCGCTGTGCATAATGCTGCCGAGCAGTTTGCCGCAGCCAGGGACAAGGTTCGAGATTTGGAGGGCGAGCTCAAACATATGGTCGATGAGGCGAAGGCGTTGGTAGCGAGACGCCCCGTGCCCGCCCTACCTGCAGGTGTTTCTGCTTTCTCCGCGGCACAGAACGTGGTGCAAGTACTGGGCCAGCATTCAGGATGGGAAGACAAGGTCGGCAATGCGCTGGCGGGCCCTCTCACTATCCTGCTGCATGCTCTCTCGGCACCGCGCACAGAACTGCCACACCGGTCTCCCTCTGAGCATGGCAAGGTGGCTCATGGAACCCTTACCCCTCCTCCTCCCTCCGCCCCCCCGCGTCGGACCGACGACGTCAACAAGCTCCCGTCGGCCGCGGAGGTCCATGCGGAGCAGGAGGAGGAGGAGCAGCAGCAAGAGA